TTAACATAGTAGTGTCTGATTGCCTAGTGCCTTGTTGCTCTGAGTGCCCAAATCCCAGCCATTCTTTATGGAGAGTTCAGGAAATGCCTCTTCTGCCTAGGACAACTCTGAGAAATGGATGTGGGCCACACAGCATTAAATCACTCATCTTCTCCTTTCTACCTGTCTGTATGTCAACTAGGATTCCAGCTGACCCATCAAACCACTAAAACTACTCTGTTTCCTGGCAGATTTCATTGCCAGTAATATTCTTTATTCTTTAAGAGAATATTCTTTCTAAACTAAGATATTCCTGCCTAGTAATACGATAAGGATATATATGTTTAATAATAGAACAGGATAAGATCTATTCAGCGAATAACGTCCTATGAACAATTGGCAACACTTCTAGATTTCTATGGAATCTCTTATGAAAACTGTTCTGTGAACATCAACTGGAAATGGATAGAGAACTAGCAGGATTGAGCCAACCTGGAATTTTCCCTTCAGTTTTGCTATTTGTATAGCAAAGGACTTAGACCTGCCTTCCAGATATTCTTTCCACAATATGTTCTTCAGAACCATGGTGTCTGATCACCTCACTTTTTGGTCCATATTGAATTTGACCTGTGAGAATGAAAGACTATAACAGTGTTCCCTGAAGGAAAAGATCTTTACTTCACCTGGAACCAGGGTGAGCTCAGAATCCTGGAATTCTCATTAACTTTTTCCATTAGGGTAAGAAAATGATGATCTTTATAATCAAAACGATTCTGGAAAATAATGGAGCAGATCACATTGCAGGGAGCACAGCCCAGGATGAACGTAGGATCACAGGGTGAGCCTGAAGAATTAGAAACAATTGGAGAAATAACATTAAACTATACAAACAAGACATTTTGCCTTTGTTAGCAGGGAAAGATTTAGCAGTTTTAAACCATATCTTATCTACAATTTTCCTAACAGCCTAGCATCCATTTATGTAGAATCAATGTATCCCTTTAACCTTAAACTTGAGATGGCCTCACCCTCATCAGTTAAATAAGAATAGATCATATCTGTTACAACAAGTTTTACACTTTTCATTATCTGGTATATGAAAAAACCCAAATTTCTAGTATTTGGAACAGAATTATTTATTACTTAAATGCCTAATTACCATATAACATGGGTTTAATTAGAAGAGTGTACAACTCTAAGATCTGCAGCCACAGTGAGTAACCATATAATTCCTCCTAATTACTTGAGAGTAATGTCTAAACTCAAGAAAGCCACTTCCATGTAGATTTTTTTGCATTACTAAATGAAATGAAAACTTTTCTTTTATAGTTAATTCCAAGAGGGAGAAACAATATTAAGGAAGTGACAGAGATTTCCCTTTTCTCATTTCATCATTTACAACAATACATTTTGTTTCATAGGAAGTAAATACAATATTTGAAAAGTAGACACAAAGAATAATAAGGTCAGTGCTAGAAAGATAGCTCTGTATTCAAAGTACTCCCTGATGTTTGAGAGAACCAACATTCAGTTCTGAGCACCCTCTTGGTGGATCATAAGTTTCTGTAACCTCAGCTTCATGGGAATAGGACACAATTTTCTGACTTCTGTGGAACCACTTACACAACTCGTGCATGCATGAATGTGCAGGCAAACATTTATACACATAAAAGAAACCTAAACAATATTTTTAATTATAAGAAATAAGCCTAGGGAGGATGCAATAGGAAAACAGGGGATGAGGTGGGCCAGAATGAAGACAGTAGGGGGGAATTTTCAAAGCACCTGTTACACTACTATGCAATGTCTTCATAAGGTACACACTACAAATAGTATTAGTGACATTAATGTTTATTTTTATAATAAGTAAATGATGATTATGTTCAACAAAATCTGCAGCCTATTTGGGAAAGAGTGTGGCTGGTAGATTTATAAACATTTCCTCACATCACGATTATTAAATTACCATGCTGATATAATGCTTAAAATTTGTGGTACATATGTGTTGTTTTTCATGTCAAATGCCAAATAATCCAATTTAAAAGTGGTGTAAAGAACACAATAGAGAATTCTCAATAGAGGAGTCTAAAATGTCTGATAGACACTTAAGAAAGTGTTCAACATCCTTAGCCATCAGGGAAACGCAAATCAAAACAACTCTGAGATACCATATGACTCCTGTCAGAATGGCTAAAATCAAAAACAACACTGACAGTTTATGCTAGAGAGGATGTGGAGGCAGGGGAACACTCCTCCACTGCTGGTGGGAGTGCCAACTCGTACAGCCACTTTGGAAATCAGTATGGCAGTTCCTCATGAAAATGGGAATCAGTCTGCCACAAGATCCAGCAATTCCACTCTTAGGCATATTCCCAAAAGATGCAAATTGATACAACAAGGACATCTGCTCAACTATATTCATAGTAGCATTATTTGTAATAGCCAGAACCTGTAAGCAACCTAGATGCCCCTCAACTGAGGAATGGATAGAGAAAATCTGGTATATTTACACAATTGAGTACTAGTCAGTAGAAAAAAAAACAAGCAAACAATGGTATCTTGAAATTCCCTGGAAATGGAAGGCACTAGAAGAAACTGTCCTGAGTGATGCAATGCAGTCACAAAAGGGCAAACATGGTATGTACTCACTCATATATGGATTTTAGATATGGATCATGGGATTGCCCGCCAGAGAGCCTGGGAAACAGGGAGTACCCTAAAAGAGACATGCAAGGTACCCTGGAGAAGAGGAAGGTGACATGATCAATTGAGTGGATTGGGAACATGGGGGGGGGAGTAGAGAAGGAACTGGGAGAAAGAGGAGGTGAGAAGAGGAGGGAAGAGGAGAAAATGAGAGGACAGGAAGGTTGACTTCGGGGAAGAATAGAGGAGAGCAAGATGAGAGATATCATAATGGTGGAAGCCATTATAGATTTGAGGAAAGATATGGCATTAGCAAGAATTCCAGAGATCTACAAGGATTACACCAACTGGCAATCTGGGCAATAGTGGAGAGGCTTCCTTGAATGCCCTTCCCTGAAATTGAGATTGATGACTACCTTGTATGCCACCCTTGAGCCTTCATCCAGTGGCTAATATAAGCAGAGGCAGACAGCTAGACATTGAACTGAATTCCTGGAATCAAGTCACAAATAGGGAGGAGTGAAGAGCAAAGGGGTCAAGACTGAGCTGGTGAAACACACAGAAATGGCTGACCTGAACAAGGGGGAACTCATGGACCCCAGACTAATGGCTAAAAGGCTAGCATGGGACTGATTCAGACTCCCTGAATGTGGGTGTCAATAGGGAGGCCTCGGCAATCTATGGGACCTCTGGTAGAGGACCAGTATTTATCCCTGGGGTATGAATGGACTTTTGGAGCCCATTACACGTGGAGGGATGCTGTCTCACCCTGGACACATGGGAAATGCCTAGGCCCTGTCCTGGATGATATGACAGACATTGGTGATCCCCATGGAAGGCCTCATGGGGGATGGGGTAGGGAGTTGGTGGGGTGCAGGGGAAGAGGGGAGGGAGAAGGAGCTGTGATTGACATATGAAGCAGGCTTGTTTCTAATTTAAATAAAAGTAAATTAAAAAGAAATTTCTTTTTAGACTTATTTTTATTTGTGTGCATGTGCTCTCGTGTGTGAGAATGTGTGAATGTGGTGTGTAGTGTGTGTGGTGTTTATCTGTGGAGGCTAGAAGAGCATGTCAGATCTCATGGGGCTGCATGGCATGGGCACTAGGATGCCACTGCTGCTACTCAGAAGGAGCATTCTCTCTCAAGTGATAAGCCATCTCCCCAGCTCTCAGGGCATTTTCTTCTGATATCGTTTCTATAATGAGTTTGCTTTGATCAAATGATAAATATATGTTACATTCAAGGTGAACCAAAATTTAAATCTGTAGATATCATGTAAGGATTACATGAATTAAAAGTGTTATTAATAAATTATTAAATATGCTGGGCATTGGTGGCACATGCCTTTAATCCCAGCATTTGGGAGGCAGAGGCAGGCAGATCTCTGTGAGTTCAAGGCCACCCTGGTCTCCAGAGTGAGTTCCACGATAGACTCCAAAGCTACACAGAGAAACCCTGTTTTGGAAAACCAAAATAAATGAATAAATACATTATTAAATAAATTATTAAATATGAGTCAATGAAAACATTGTTTTCACTATGCCAGGGTTTAAAAAAATGACTATGTTCTATGCTATCAGGAAATGTTTTATTTAAGCCCAAAACAGTAAAGGGTAAAATATTGGGAATTTTCTTATGTGTGTACGTGCTATTCAAAGATTAAATTTGATTTTTAGTCTTTTCTTTCACTTTTTTTTGAAGAAAGGACTTAAAGTCCTTAGAAATCAAATATCTAACCAGATTTTCTTTTCAGAACAGAAACTTCTTGGGTAAGTAGCACTTATAGGGGTAGCAAAAGAAAAGTGATTTATTTTCTGAACACACACACACACACACACACACAC